CTGTGAATTGGGGGATAGCCTCGCTGGACAGGCAAACTTTGGCTTTTGCCCTCTCAGGGAAGGGCGCCCTCTTTCGCGCCCCGGACAATTACCTGCAACAGCAAGGGACTAGCGCGGCGACCATTTGTCCTCTTTCGCCACTTGTGAGGTCAGAGTGTGGAGGGGATGTAGCCTATGGCTGCACAGCAACACCTACCCTAAACTTTAGGGCTTTTGGGTCGTCTCAAAGTTCAAGCTTCTTAGAAGCAACAAAGACTTTCTAAAGATCCCACCCTCCTACCCCTCCCCTTACCCCACTTTTCTCTCACTGCACACACTCAGCCCCCTTTCTTTCTGAGGCTTGGGGATGAGTTTAAATCATTGTGCTCCCATTTCTTGATAGCTGCCTGCTTAGAGCTTTTGTTCTCTTAAAGTAGGATTGCGCACTGAAAGAAGGGCTGAAGATGAACAGTTTGGCCCCTTAGGACAGTTCGTGCGATGGACAGGAGCGGCCCTCGGCCACCATCCTGGCTGTGCTATTCACTCAAGCCCTCCCCCTTCACATAACATTTCAGCCTCGTTTCTTCTGGACAATCTTTTAGACCACACAAGTGCCTCTCGAATTTATTTAAGTTAAAGGAGTGCTAGAAGAGTCCAGCTACGGATATTTGGCATTAGTTATGCCTTCGCAAAGCTGAGAACAAATTGAAGTTGCCTTCGTTTTCTGGCAAAACTAAGCAAAATGCTGAACAAAAACACTTCTGCTATCTAGGCAACAGTGAGTACGAATGGTTGGTCTTTGGATTGCATGAGTTTGTCCTTGGGTTTCTTTTCTTTTTAAAAATCATATTTTTCACAGTGAGAAATATTTTCAGAAGTGCTCTGTTATCAGGAGTGAGGCAGCTCTTGAAGGCTACAGTACAAACACACAACCATTCCAGGATATATAGAGGGTGTTTTCTTTCTTTCTTTCTTTCTTTTTTTTTTGTTTGTTTTTTCAGACGTACTTTTAAAAATTGTTTTATATCTTTTTTAAAAAATTTACTTTAAGTTCTGGAATACATGTGGAGAATGTGCAGGTATGTTTCAACTTGTGCTATGGTGGTTTGCTGCACCTATCAACACATAATCTATTTTAAGTCCCTGAATGCATTAGGTATTTGTCCTAATGCTCTCCCTCCCTTTAACCCCCACTCCCCAACAGGCACCGGTGTGTGATGTTCCCCTCCCTGTGTCCATGTGTTTCCATTTGCAGATGTACTTTTTATACTAATCTGACATACATCCCTGAATATGCCCAAAGAAGCCCTTATTAAAAAAAATAAAATTCTAATAACCTGACAATGGCTTTACATTTAATTATTAGAAGTAGATTTATATCACTGTTTGAATATGTATACAACCCTAAGTTCCTTGACACTGTTGGAATAGCTTTTCCTTTTGCAGGAAACTTCCAGAATAGGAAGTGTGCAGTTTACCTTCATATAATTTTACCATTACTGATATACTTAAATATGCATTATTAACTTATCACTCACAGACAGTATAGAAGGTTTGAATTTTGTCAAAGGAAAACATGTGCCCTTTCAGTGAGTCATAAAAACATAAAATCCTCCTAGAATATAAAAACTGGGGAGTCAGATGTCCAAATACTGTTAACAATCAACTCGAGAAATCCATTGTGTGTTTCTCTGGCATGAAGCATCAGACTCAGCTTGATCTCATTGTTATTTGGGGTTATACAAGGCTCACCAAGTTTCCCTTTAAGCCTCTACTTAACTGGATTCCAATTCTATTCTTCCCCCAAGTATATTTTATTATTAAATCAACCCAGCACTTCCTAGCTAAACCAAAAGTTTAAAGCAACCTGTATCTCCACTGATACTAAAATAAATCTTTGTTTTCATGACATTAATCTATTTTGGCTTGTATTTCTTTGCAGACAACTCCTGTGAAGAGATATAGACATCTAAAGACTGAAAAACCAAGGTTCCTCCTATCATTCCAGGATTTATTTTTAAGTCTTTGATCATTTCCTCACAACCTAGTTTTCTTGTCCTTTTATTTTATTCAAATTTACAAACAAACAAAAATTATTTGTCTGCTCCCACGTGTTCCTTTAGTCCCCACCGGGCTGGACAAGTCCGCACCCTTGGTGGGTTTTCTTTTATGGGGACTATGAGAAGAGTATTTGCCGTTTGGTATCAGTGATAATTGCCTATAAATTAATGCTCATGTGTACAGCAACAAAGGTAAGCACTTCTAGCATAATTGTTGCTTGGTCAAACTTTTTATGAAGTTCTGATTCTGCAGGTTCATGATACAATGACAGAAACCCAAAAATGTGTGAGAGACAGGTGCTGTGGGCTATGAACACTGAAAGTGTCTCCCTTTTTGCTCTCTTTTTATTTGTGCACTTCTAACAAATGAAATAAAGCTGTTCTAAAAGAATTGAGGAGGAAACTGGCAGATGATGTTTTTATATTTTGGGAATGGAATTTACTTTAAAAAGGGAGAACATGAAAACACAAAGAGCTAAGTGGAAATCATGATAGTTTTCAAATAATTACAAGACAGAGGGAAGTCTGTAGGTTGAACTGCAATGGGCAATGCTCCTTTTCATAGGATTATAATTTTCACTTTCTTTGCTTTGTGCCTTCCAATCCGTCTTGTTACCTTCCTGAAGAAAACATTAAACAAATTAAGCTATGCCAAAATGCTAACAGCCATTTTAACCACCCCTTCTCTGAAATACAGCTTGTTTCCAAGTCCTACAAACCGAAGGAGACAGAGACCAGAAGATGGTATTCTCTTTCTCTTCTCCTCTTCCACTCCTAACACTCCAACTGTGCGTTGCCTAAAGTTAATTTGCAAAAGGGATCTCAAGGGAAGCCACTCCAGTCTACTGAAGTCCGGATCCATCCCCAAGTCGACAAGAGGGTGGGCAAGAACGTGGGGAAAGTGGGGAGGGCTGACGAGCAATTCAGAACAAATTTCCTCCGAGGTCTGGTCGCCCTTCAGCTCTTTTTTCTCATTGAAAAGGAGGAGAATTGGGAAGATGGGCCCCTTGTCTCTACAACGCCCCCCAGAGCGGAGCAGAGGTCACAGAAATGTCAGCGCAGCGCATTTGCTCGCAGGAGCAGCAGCTCCGCGGCTCCTCCCGCTCTGTTCGCTGCCACCCACGCAGGAAGCCTCCTTGCTGTGCCTCCAGGCTATAAACTGGGTTAACCCCGAAAAACCTGTATCAGGGCCCACAGCCTCAGTTTACTGTATGTAAAATGATGAGGTTCCTTTCAGTTCTAACATGTGAGTGCTTTTATTCTCACATCCTCCAAAAGGTCATCAACTGCTCTCCCATCTGACCTCCCCTCCCAGGAGACGCCTCTTTGAATCCCCAGTGTCCTCTCCTTTCACTCTCCCACGCCAGTTTCGACAGACCCCAAACATACTTATCCACGATGTGTCCACAGCTCCCCATCCATGCTTTTCTCCTCCCCTGACCAAATGAATCTGTTTTAAAATAGCTTACTATTTGATACAGCTCCTAAGAGGCTTTGCCAAAAGACGACCGGCAGCACCACAGGGCTAACTGTTTTCCCCGGGATTCTGACCCCCATTAACTAATTCCTAGCTCCCATCACCCGGGAGCTAGGAGGCCCGGCACCGCCGGGTGCGGTGCGTGCGCGCCCGCTGGGCGGGGGGAGCCTCGGCGGCAGAGAGGACGAAGGCGGGGGCGGTAGCACGGGTCCCCCATCCGCCCCCAGCGCTCGGGCCCCTAATGAGCTGCTGAAAGGGAGCGGGCTCCTGTGCGCGTGGCTCGCAGGCCTCCCGGAGTCCGGGGCGCCCTGATTGGCCAGCTGCGCCTCGCGACCTCCATTCATTAATAAATTAGCGGCACGCTCCAGCCGAGCGCGAGCCACCAATCACAATGGACAGCGGCGGCGACAACAGCCGCTGCTTGAGCCGCTGCGGCCGCCCCGGCTTCGCCAGCTTCGGCCGCAGCCTGGAGCTCCAACAGGAGCTTTAGAACCATTTTATGCTGATTAGATAAAGGGGGAAAAGAGAGGCGGGGGTGGTGGGAGGAGGAGGATGGATGGCAGGGCCAAGGGAGGGGGAAAGGCGGTGAAGAAAGAGAAAGAAATGAATGATGATAATGCAGTGAAAAGAATAAGCTAGGGGAGGGAAAGCGGGGGAGAAGGGGGGCAGGAGGAGGAGGCGGTAGCGGGGGAGGGGGGGGCCGGGGCAGATCTGATTGTTTTCTTGGTGGTATATAAGGGGTTTTAAGGAGAGTCGTGTGCCAGACACGCAGCCACTGAACCACAAGCAGCTTCGCTTTAACTGGAGTGCCTGGGAGTCGCGTGCCAGGAGCCACACGGCCAGGGACTGACTGACAGACAGACACGCACCACCACCACAACACACGAGACCCGGGCGGGCCGCCGCCGCCGCCGCCGCCGCCGGGGCTCTTGGCAAACTCTCCGGTCGCCGAGGTCCCCTGCGGAGCTGCGCCACGGTAGCGCCCGCCTTGCAGCTTTCGCGCCCGGCGAAGGACGTGGCGCTGCGCTCGCGGCTGCGCGGAGATTCCGGGCACAAGCCAAAGTCACAGCAACGCCGAGGCACAGTTAGAGTCAACTAAGTAAGTATTCGAGCCACGCTTCCAACTTCGCAGGTGGTTTCCCGCGCCAGATCAGTCCAACCACGCCCGCACGCCCTCTGCTCCGAGCAGAATGTTTTTCCCCGAGATCGCGGTGTCCCTTCTCGAGGAGGGAACGCAGCAGTCAGGACCGCCCGCAGAGGGCAGGACCCGGCTGACTGGCGGCAGGGTCACAAGGAGCGCAAGCGGAGCTCCTGACCTTGGCTAGCAGTGCCTGGGTTTCTTCCCCGCCTTCCACCTCCGCGCCACTCCTAGCCGGTCTTCTCGGGTGCGCGCCGCAGCACGCCCCGCCAACCAGAAGATCGAGCCTCTGTTTTCTTCCTTACACCTCACTGCCTTTTCCTCCTTCCCCTCTCTCTTCGGTAGGATGTTCGTCAAATCCGAAACCCTGGAGTTGAAGGAGGAAGAGGACGTGTTGGTGCTGCTCGGCTCGGCATCCCCCACCTCTGCGGCTCTGACCCCGCTGTCCTCCAGCGCCGACGAAGAAGAGGAGGAAGAGCTGGGCGCATCCGGCGGGGCGCGTCCGCAGCGCGGGGCTGAGGCCGGCCAGGGGGAGCGGGGCGGCCTGGCGGCGGCTGCCGAGGGCTGCCGACCCTCAAGGCTGCTGGGTCTCGGGCACGAGTGCAAACGGCGCCCCTCCCGGGCGCGGGCAGTCTCTAGGGGCGCCAAGACCGCCGAGACAGTGCAGCGCATCAAGAAGACCCGGAGACTGAAGGCCAACAACCGCGAGCGAAACCGCATGCACAACCTCAACGCGGCTCTGGACGCGCTGCGCGAGGTGCTCCCCACGTTCCCCGAGGACGCCAAGCTCACCAAGATCGAGACCCTGCGCTTTGCCCACAACTACATCTGGGCGCTCACCGAGACCCTGCGCCTGGCGGATCACTGCGGGGGCGGCGGCGGGGGCCTGCCGGGGGCGCTCTTTTCCGAGGCGGTGTTGCTGAGCCCGGGAGGCGCCAGCGCCGCCCTAAGCAGCAGTGGAGACAGCCCCTCGCCCGCCTCCACGTGGAGTTGCACCAACAGCCCCGCGCCGTCCTCCTCCGCGTCCTCCAACTCCACCTCCCCCTACAGCTGCACTTTATCGCCTGCCAGCCCCGCCGGGTCAGACATGGACTATTGGCAGCCCCCACCTCCCGACAAGCACCGCTATGCACCTCACCTTCCCATAGCCAGGGATTGTATCTAGAGCTGCCATCTCTGCTAACCACGCCAGGCCTTAGTGGGTCCCCTTTCCTGTCCCCAGCCGAGCCCTCCTCCCTTCCCCTGCCCCGCCTTTCCAAGCCCTGGAAACCATCTCACTTCGAAGGGCAGGTGTAGCCGTTCTGATTCCTTGCTTGTTTCTTGCATTTCCTGGCTTTGGTCTCATTCATTCAGATGGGCTCTGATTTATTGAAGGTGTGACGGAGCTTATTGTCAAAGTGAAGGGTGCCGTTTTGGAGGCGCTTCTTGAGACGAAAAAGACGCTGGGAAGAGATGATGGTGGCATATCGAAAGAGTTTGCAGAGCGGACTGACGCTCCTCCCCTTTCTCTGTAACGCCGGAGGACTTGGAGCAGTTCGTGTGAATCTCGCGGGGGGAATGCAACTGGTTCCTGTGATCTCTTCACCTTTGCTTCTACATAGAGATGTTAATGTCGAGTAGAAAGAAATGTATCTTAGCATCTGAATGATTTTACTGGTAATAATATTATCCACAGATTTGCAATGGCTGGCATCTGCTTTATTCCCATTGCTGTCTGCAGGCTGTGGGAATTTCACCTGTCAAACCAAACTTTCCCTCTCTGATGTGCACTTTGTTCTGTTTCCCAGATTCGTCACAATGCCTATTGTCCTGTCCTTCTCTTTCCTCTTTCTTCCCCATTTTGCCATCTGTCTCTTATGATTTATAAGGGGGAAAAAACTTGTTTTGTTAGAGGGGCAGGTTAGAAGTCATTGTATAATTTGTAGGCTTTGTAATGATTGAATGCAAGCGTGGAAATTTAGGCTGAACTCTCTATCAAAAGGAAAAATGTGGAGGAAAAGGGAAAAATCAGGAGGGAGGATTGCTTCATGCATTATTTATCTCGACCTTTTAGGGGAGAAGGAACTCCCCCATTCTTTAGAGAGATTAAAAATAAATCAACAGTCTGAAAACCTAAGCAGATACGGAGCATTATCGGGATCAGCCACACACGTGTTCCCTTCTATTTATTATAAATAAATTTTTCATGGGAAAATATGTATTTTTTTGTATATTCTACAGAGTTTATTCTAGTATGTATTTACGTCTTGAAGAACAAGAAAGTTGTTCTTGTGATTAAACTATAAATAAAGTATCTAATTTTCATAAGTTTGTGTGTTGCATTTTAACTTTTTCTTGCTTATGTGATTTTTAGATGCTGAATGAGTTGTGTGTGTGTTTGTGTTTTTTGTTTTTTGTTTTTTTTTAAGTTCTCCTCACGTCAATTTGAATATGGCACTTGTATTTTTTGGCACTGTTTTGTGTAGAATTTCACTAAAATCACAAAAAGCAGAATTATATTTGAGCCACTAGTATTGAAATAAGACTGTAACTCTCAATACAAACACACAATTTATTTTTAAGGAATAAATTTCTGAGCAAACAAAATGAGCAAAAAAGTGGAGAAGAATTTAAATGATAATTCAGTCATGATAAGCTCCAAAGTTTAGAAAACCTTGATTCGAAAAAAAGTGAAGTTGACATTTCTTGGTGGAGTGTGCAGAAATTTGTTTCGTATACAATTTGTTTGGCTTTAACTCTCATCTGTAAACTGAAGGCACTAGCCGTGACTCCCAAGGGTGCCCCCTTTCCAGCTCTAACATCTGTGATGTAACAGTACTTATGAATTCATTATTAGAAGCAGATTTCCTATTTGCCATTTTAACAAGCTAGTTGCTTTTAAAAGCAGACTCCCAGAATAATGCAGATATTTACAGTGAGCTGGAATTGAAAACATATGAAAAAAAATAGCTCTGCTTTCCAATATTTGTTAAAGTAATTACATAGTAAAAACTTCTTCAAAGAGAAAGCAAAAATGGTTTAACTTACACCCCAATCTCCAAAGCAGCAATGAATGACCTTTGATTGGCCTTGGGTCAAAAATGACCAAATGAAGGTTGATCACATTCTAGATTTAATCCCCTTGGGAGAGAGTTTCTATGACAACACAAGCTGAAAAAGATCACATTAAACCTTGGTTGTTCACAGCGCCCCTTTCCCCATGAATGTCTTACCTGCATCTGTTTGGGCCATATACTCCACTCTCCCACACAATGAAATAATAATTTCTCCTGAGATGTCTATCTGAAACTACTCCTCTCTAATAACTTCATTTTAATCAAAGGAAGAGCTAACTCAGGGTTGTCTCATTTTTATAGGCAAACATGAGAGGCCTTTTGGTAAATCCCTTCTAATTTAAACACTGTGTGACTCTTAGCTGCTCTTTGATTATCTGACAAGAGGAGAAAGTGATATTTCTCATATATTCACTTTTTCTTTTTTTTTGAGATGGAGTCTTGCTCTGATCTAGGCTCACCGCAACCTCTGCCTCCCAGGTTCAAGGGATGCTTCTGCCTCAGCCTCCTGAGTAGCTGGGATTACAGGTGTACGCCACCACGCCCGACTAATTTTTGTGTTTTTAGTAGAGACAGGGTTTCACCGTCTTGGCCAGGCTGGTCTCGAACTCCTGACCTTATGATCCATCTGCCTCGGCCTCCCAAAGTACTGGCATTACACGCCCAGCCTCACATTTATGTTTCTAAAAAGCCAAGTCACCAAGCAAAGGAATTATATATGATCGTTTGAAAACATCAGTTTTGGTGTTGAACAATGCTGCTTCCGTTGATGATGTTACATATGAAGTTACATGGAGCTTCCTTTGGAAACTTGCCAAAGAAAGAGTTCATGACAAAATTTCAGGCGAACCTACTCCTCCGACTATGGGAAACCTTCTCAATTGGTGAAGCCATCCCATAAAAAGACCCTAACGGCTCAGTTGGAGAGGCAGGGATGGACAGATGATTTAATAATCCTAGCTCTGAGTAAAGCTAATATAGCTAACAGAGACTTCACTCTTGACCTAGACGACTCTACACACTTCTTTCAGGTCCAGAGTCTTGTTCAAGTTCTCAAAGCTGGAGCTTGCACTTCCCCATTACACACAAGCAGGCACATCTTGAGTGCCAGGGCTTCCATCTACCATCTGCAACTCACACTCAGGCTTTCTCTTCCCCATCTAGAACACATCCTATTTTACACCAAATTGGTGCAATTATTTTTTATGGCGTCTAATCATCTAAAGAAGGTAAGAATGAGCTTCTGACTGCCTCAGCGCCGAGATTCTCTTCCTTAACCCGTTGCAACCTTCACAGCCTGTGGCCTGAGCCCAGTCGTTCTCTTCCCTTCCCAGTAGGAATGAGTACAATTAGAGGGTCGAAGCCGCTGCTTCTGCAGTAGGCAACAAAGTCATTTTCCCATTTTACCCATTTCCCTCCCAACATTGTGACCGCGATGTGATGAGCTGGATCTGTGTGCACCAAGCAGGTTTGCAGGCCTCGGAGCCACGGCGTTCTATTTCTGGTGGCTCTCTGATGAGAGACACTTCAAACAACGCTGTGGTGATTTTCTTCCGGTGACAGTCCCACACTGCCAATGTTGCTAGATCTTTCCAAAGCCAGCTTAGCGTTTCCTAAGTGGGGTGAGGCGCGAAGGTGGGTCCTGTCCTCATTGGAGCGTAGCTTTAGCTCGGCCGGCGTTCCGGGATTGGTTGTATTTATTTGTTCTAAAATGCCCAGGCATTGTTACGACTCATTTTTCCTTCACTAGATTTTAAATACATCCATCTGAGTGCCAAGAAGGAGAGAAAAAAAAAGTAGAGAGGCGGACTGCCAACCGCTGGGGCCGCCAAAGGAGCCGGACCCAGGCGCAGCCGGAGGCAGGAGGAGGTGCTGAGGCTCCCTGGGCCCGCCCGGCCTGGAGTGAGAGCCGGGTGGGCGCCCCGGTGCCCCAGCTAAGGCGAAGGCCTCGGGCGGCCTTGGCCAGGAGGGAGCAAGGGCCCATTCGGCACTTTCCAAAGCCTAGTCCGATGGCCCAGGAAGGGCGTTTAGGCCCAAGGCCGGCTTCAGCCGCCCACCCGCCAGTCTGGGTCACAAGCTCCCGGTAGCTAAAGGGCTGGGCTGGAGGGCGAGGCTGGGAGCTGCGGCGCCCTCACCCGCTGGGTACACCCCCCTGCGTTACACACCCTTGGGCCGGTTGTGACTTCTGGGCACCGACACCTGGAACCGGTTAAAAGCGCCTTCTCCTCACCGCCGGCCTCGGTCTCCCCCGAGCCCCCTCGGGCTCCCAAGCGAGCTTTGAATGTATTAATTAAATAAAGCGGGCAGCTCTTGAATCGCGCCAGTGCAGGGCGCTCCCGGGAGCGTGAAAGTCCCGGCCTCCGAATCCGCCAAAGAAATGTGTGAAAAGAGAATTAGTGAAATTAGGTTAGACCAATAAAACGTGAGGGCTCCAATACCTCCCCCCTTTCCCGTTCCCCCAGCCTGGGGCTAGAAGGGCTATCGGGTCTGATCTATTGTTTCCCGCCCTGGCAGGGGGTTCATTGTGTGATAAATAATTCCCCCTCCATTTTCTTTTATTCTTAAAAAAATGGGTATTTGCATAATCAGTGCTTTGATGTGGCCAGAAATCGGAGGTTTGGTCTCCCCAAGTCTGCTATTGGTAGCGAAGCAACAAAGCTAGATCCAGATCTTTCACTTCGCTGACAGTGTGTGGGGCAGATTGTCAGAAAAAGCAGCGTTAAGTTGCTGCCTCCTTTTTAAAGGATCCACTTTAATGATTAAACTTAAGGAATGTCCAAAAAAGGAGGGGTGAAAGACCAGAGTTTCCATCACCCCTGCCCCCCCCGCCCCATGCTTCTTATTGTTCTTTGCAGTTTCTTTTCCAAAGCGCTTGGGTTGGGGGATGGTGCATTTCCCTTGGAGCCGCCCCACGTGGCTCCGAGTGGGCACCGGCAGGGGTCCCCCGGGGCCAAGGAGGGGCCAGGTCTGCAGGAGCGGTCCTCCTCACCCCCAAAGCGCTTTTTCTTCCCAGTTTGGTTTCTCCAGCCGGGATGGGGTTCGTCTTATGGAGGACGCTGAAGTGAGTCTCTCTTTAGTCCCCAAGTGGAATGAGTGTGGTTCCCTGGGAACGCAGCTTGGAGGCAGTTTCAGATGGTCCCGGACAGGAGAGGCGAGTAAAGAAATTCAGTCATCCGGAAAGCAGAATTGGAAAGCCAGTGTAGCCGAACCTATTATTTCCCTACAAGGTGGCGTGAGTCGGGAGGATGCAGTGGGAAAGAATCCTGATGGTGTGTGCGTTACAACAAATGACTTTTTTCCCCCGTCTCGGTGCCAGGATCGGGGGAGGGGAGAAAGGGGTGGTTCTGTCTGCTTTCGCTCGCATTCTCTGCTTCTCTAGCTGCTCAGAGCGCAAAGGGGGAAATGCCAACTTGGACTACTGAGAACACCGAGTGAAAGGCCATGAGCACCCGGACAGGCGCCGGCTTCGCGCTCCAGCCTGGAGAGGTGTCAACTGCGTGAGAGATGCTTGGCCTCCCGGGATCCAAATCGGAGAAGAAGTCAGAGATAGAAGGGGTAAAGGAGGAGGATCCTTGAAACACCTGCGCCTCCAGGGTCCCATTCCTTCTCCTCAGCCCTGCATCTCACCGAACTGACCCGGGCCAGTCTTCAGATGTCTGAGCAGCTTTTGGATCGCAGAGCTTCAGCGGTGGATAGCTCATCGACAATTCTCTTTTTACTTAGTTATCTTTGCCTTTTACTTTTCAAGGCTGTAACTATATAAGCATTCGGTTTTCTGCATAGTCAGTTTCTTAGAAAAGTTATATATTTCTTAGGAAATAAAAGAACCCGGGATCCACAGTTCTTCCCAATGGAAACATACTTTTAAGGCTGGATTTGGGGGGCAGGTCTTTAGATTCGTGTTACCTGGGAGACTCTCTTCTTACTGCACATGGAAGTTCAGCCATGCAAAAAATCAAGAGGCGACATGTTAAAAGTTATTTCCAAAGGACACATCTCCGAGGGTAGCCTGTTTGGACTGTCGCTGGCTCTTAAAAGATTCAATACGGAGTGTATACCTTTTCTGACAGATCTTGTCGAATTGTACAGCAGGTTGTTACCAATGTTTGTCTCTATTTTTTCTAATAATTCCATCATCACCTTCTTTTTATTTCCATCTGCACTCAAATTCTCAATTCCACCTTCACTGCCTTTTGCTCCATAACTAAAGGCAAATGTGGAGACATTAAACAATAGAGCAAAGAACCAAAACCT